GAAACACAAATTCAATCCTCGAGTCACAGCATTGAAGGAGAGTCTCTGGCTGTGTTTATCAGGAGGGACTAGTCATGCTTGGAGAAGTGGAGGGTCAGAGAAAAAGAGAAAGACTCTCAATGAGATGCATTAACATAGAGGCTCCAACAAAGGGTCTGAACATAAAAATAACCCTGAGGATGCACAGGCCCAGGAATTGTTTAGTTCTGTTGTACACAGGGGCACTGTGAATCAGAACTGACTCCATGACACCTAACAACAACATGAGCTAAACACTGAGCAATGCGGAAAACAGCCAAAGAAAAAGGGAGGAATAGAGTTCCGGTGCCAGGAAGACTTGGCTGGAGTCCTGGTGTGGTGCTGTGGGTTAATGTGCTGGACTACTACGTCAGTTTGCACTACAAAGTCAGCGGTCCAAGCTCATCAGCTCCTTGGAAACCCTATACAGGGTCACTATGGGTCAGAACTGACTCGACGGCACTAAACAACAACATCCATTTCAGGAGGTAGTATATGATCAAGAATCAACAGGACTGAAGGAAAAAGTTCAAGCTTCACTGACAAAAAACAAGACGCCAGGAAGTGACAGAATTTTAACAAAAGAATGAAATACTGAGGGGCTCGGCTTGGGGTCACCCCCAGTGGGTGACTCTTGAATCTTGAGGAAGATCTCTAGAATCCTGACCACGCTGTCATTTTAGTGACCTGCGGGGCAGGCTGAAAGATGGCGGCGGCGGCGTTGATCCCTGCAGCTTCTAGTTCTCATTTGTCGCCATACTTTCTGCTTTGAAGAATCTTCAAGAGAAGATTAGACATTTGGAACTTGAAAGAATTCAGGCAGAAGAAAGTGTGAAAACTTTGTCTAGAGAAACAAGTGAATACAAGAAAGTACTGGATGAACAGATACAGGAAAGGGAAAAGTCAAAGACTGAGGAATCAAAGCACAATCAAGAACTGGCTTCTCATTCGTTAGTTGTAGAAAGTAAACGTAATCTTTTAGAAAAACAACTGGAATACATGAGAAATATGATAAAGCATGCAGAAATGGAGAGGACATCTGTCTTGGATGAGTCCAGGACTCACAAACTGTTGAACTGAAAGACGACTTGAGAGTGTGAACTGGCGACATTAGTTGGAATGATGGAAGCAAAAGCCAACCAAATAACTCAAGTTCGAACATATCAAGCCCAGCTGGAAAAACAGAAGATAGAAACGCAGAGGAAAGAATGAAGAGCCACTAAAAAGTCTCGAGATGAAGAAGACAGCAGCAGCCGTTTTTCTGGAACTACAGGGGTCACCAATAAGGACTTTGCCAAACTGAAACGTGGGGGGAAAAATCTTCAGTTATTGAAGGCCATGCAAACCATACAGAATTCATTACAAAGCAGTAGTTTGTTGTGGGACTACTGACTGGGACCAGGTCATCCATTTTATTCACATCTCCTGTGTCCTTCATCAAACAGATGTTGCCAATTGACTTTCCAGGGCTCACACTCTTCTTCTGTGGGAATCAATTGATAGCAGGTGTTAAAGAGACCACACGCTTCATTGAACTGTCTCCTTGAGTTCCACAGCACGGCTCCATGTTAAGCCATTGACATGGATACCAGGGGTGTTTAAAGGCAGAGAATCCACAGACACTCGCTTCTTTGTTTCAGATGGATTTTGCTGAACTGCACTTTGTAAACCGATGACCAATTTTCTACTTGTGGGTGTAATTTTTAAAGCAGTTATATATCTAAATAAAATTAGGTCTAAATTATCAAAATATATGGCTATTCCATAGGCAGTGTTTGCTTGAAAAGTCTCACTTTTATATCTTGCCCTGGCTCAAAGCCCCCACTTACCCCTTCTAATACAGCCATTAAATGTACCTTTATGGTGACTATTGATGTAGGTTTGCTATACTTAAGTATTTATGACACATTTAAGAGGATTCTTTCATCTCCTCCATTGGTATCTCCTAAGAGGCTAAGAGAAAAATCACTTCCTTCTGAGCCCTTGTTCGGCCTATTATTTTGGTTGGGTTTGGTTTTCAGCACTCACAGTAATCAGTATCTGTTTTGCTTTTATGTTTAAATCCACTGTGAAAAAGTAAAATGGGGAAAAGACACATGTAGTCATTTTAAGTCAGGTACCTGTAAAAACTATAAATATATTCTTTAAAATAATGAAACAAAGGAAATTTTGGAATAAAGTTAAGAATGAGAAAAGACGGCAATGAATTAGTGTATACATTTGCCATTTGCTGTTTTTAAATAATAGCTATTTGTAATCATGCTATTCACTCAATGCATTATGGTTTTTTATCTTGAAACTGATGGAACCCTATGACTCTTTGTTTTTATTAGTGTACAGCATGAGGGCAATGTTTACTGTACACTCACAATGTCATACTGTTAATAATGTAAATCATCATTTTGAATAGATTTAAAACCTGTTATCTTTTTGTAAATTTGCCACTGGAGTCAATAAAGCAGCTTCTTATAAGAAAAAAAAAAAGAATGAAATACTAAATGTACTCTGTCAAGAAATGTAGAAGACAGCCACTTGGCCAACTGATTGGAAGAGATCCATATTTGTACCCATTCTAAAGGTGAGCCCGTGGAATGCAGAAACCGTCAAACAATATCATTACTATCACAAACAAGTAAAATCCTGATGGATTTAAATCCAGTTTCAGCAGTTCATTGATAGGTGGTGGTGTTGTTCCTAAGTACTGTCAAGTCCGTTCCGCCTCATAAAGACCCTGCATAGCATTTCCAAGGAGCAGCTGGAGGGTTTGAACCGCTGACCTTGTGATTAGTAATCCAGTGCTTATCCTACAGTGTCACCCCAGGACGACAGAAATTCAAGTCTCATTCAGATGAGGACAGGAAAAGAGGGATATCATTGCTGATGTCAGATGGATCTTGGATCTTGGCTGCAAGTAGAGCACACTAGTAAGATGTTTACTAGTGTTTTCTTGACTGTGTAAAGGCATTCCACTGTGCGCATCAGGAGAAATTATGTGTAACGTTGCAGACCATTTAAACGTGTTTATGTGGACCTTACAGAACATAGACCAAGTGGCAGTCATTCAAGCCGGACAGCAAGGTAATATGTGGTCTGAAATCAGGAAAGGTATGTGCCCCATAGTGTGCATTATACAATGACACACTGGAGCTTGTATGGTTTAAAAAAGCTGTGTGATGGACATATTATTTGTATAAAAATGTGGTAAATTTACATCTATACAGTTCTATCTCTATACTGATAGAGACAGATCTCTATATGTAAAGGAACCCTGATAGTATAGTAGTTATGTGCTGAGCTACTAACCAAGGTCAGTGGTTCAAACCCACCAGCAGCTCCACTGGAGAACCATGTGACAGTGTGTTTCTGTAACGATTTACAGCCCTGGAAATCCTAGGAGTCAGCTCTAGTTTGTCCTCTAGAGCTGCTATGAGTTGGAATTGACTCAACAGCATTGGGTTAGGGTTGGTGTATGTGTAACTCGATCTCTATAGGAGTCCTGGTATGGGCTGCGGGGTACAGCACTGGACCATTGGGTTAGGATTGGTATATATGTAACTCAATCTCTATAGGGTCCTGGTGTGGGCTGTGGGGTACAGCAGTGGATCACAAGGTTGGTTTGAGCGACAAGGTCGGCAGTTCAAACTCACCAGTTGCTCCTTGGAAACCCTATACAGGGTTGCTATGAGTCAGAACTGACTCGACAGCACTTAACACAATCTCTCTATATGGGTTCCTGGTATGGCGCAGTACAATCACCACTGGACTGCAAACCACAGAGTCAGTGGTTCAAACCTACCAGTTGCTCCTCGGAAACCCTATACAAGATCACTATGCGTTAGTACAGCACGTAATCACAGTAACCTCTCTATATACATATAGACACATACACACGCATGTATAAATGCCGATGCTGCACATTATACATGTTGTTAGGCAGCTGGGTCCATTCTAGCTCAGACTGACCCCATGTGACAGAGAACTGCTCTACAGGGTTGGGGCTGTATTGTTACTGAAGCCCATTGCAGGTACTTCTCCTGCAGAGTCACTGGGCAGGTTCGAACTGCTAATCTTGTGGTTATCAGTTGAGTGCCTAACCATCTGTGCTACCTGGGACCCATATAGACATAAACATTTTGATGTCATGACACCTTTTGAAGACTCCCCTGGAACACTGCTGTCTCCCGTTAATGACACTCACCTCCCACGTGTGTTCTGGTTGCTTTCCTGATCTTCAATGCCACGCAATTTGCAGATTTCTCCTCCCACGGAGGACCACGTGTCATTTCTCATGAGTCGTACGATTATCTCTTTAGTGGATAGCTTTTCTCCATCATTAAGGTTTCGAGAA